AAATGGGGGGGGGGGGGGGTCTGACATTTAAATGATGTCAAGCGGTGTGATTTAGGATTCGTAGCAGGCCTCCTGTTCCCATCAGAGCTCTGCACCCTACTTGAAGCAGCATTTCCATTTTTATGTAAGAGCCTGAGTCAGCTGTTCTGTTCCACTGCAAGTGTGCCTTTTATTGCCCTTTACTACCCTGTACTCCTGCCTCTGAGGAGAAAGATATTGAATATTTAATGCCGAGACTGTTGGAGATATTACTCAGTTAAAAAAACGACTTACTTTGAAAACATTTTCCTTCACCTAAATGGTACTTTAAGGTGAAAAATAGATGAAAATGAAAAAGAGAACAGGGCTGAATAAGATGTAATGGTTCTACTATAAGGTGTCATAACAAAACATCTATGAGTTGATTATTGAGTAGGCAAATACGAGTAAATAACGTCTGCAAACATTTGCTATCTGAATGTCTATAACAGGGGTGTCCAAACTCACGCGACGCAGTTGTGTAACGATTGCACAAGCGCATGCTCGTTACTTAACTGTTTGGTTTTATATATATATATTGTATAGTTACCTTTAACCCTGTGCTCCGTAGTCATTATAGTGCTGTGTTGGAGGACATTTCTTCCTCAGTGATTCCAAAAAGTTCATAGGAGCTTGGAATATATTCTTAATAAAAAGTGGTACGCTACTCATTTGTGTTGGCACTTTCATCGTTTTATTTATATTTTTGATGGCTGCGTGTTGTGACAATTATTTTTTTAATACTAGTAGGCTACTCTTAATTTGAGTTTATATAATGCTATAGATTCAATTATGTCACCACAGGGCATGGTAACTTCACAACGTGCTTTACGAACCCATAGCCTATATTGTATTTAATATTCAAAATGCTCATGTTTATGTGCTTGTATCAGTAGTAGGTAAGTTTATGATTTTTAATTCGGTGTAACATTTTCTTCTAATTTCTTGTCGGCGCATTTCCAGAATAGTAGGTGTATTAAATTAGTTTAGGAAAATTACGTCAGTTCATAAATCCAATCACTTTACACTTTATGTGAATTTAGGATATGGATTGATAGAAAGGTGTTTAACTTTATAATAATAGCCTACGAACTGTAGCCAAGCACATTCATAAGAGTTTATAAGGGATATCTGCAATAAATAATAGACAGAAAACAAAACACTTGAGTAGCCACTTCTTTGTTTAATGGGATATGATATTCCCGGGCCCTTGAAGGTGTTGGCTGTCTGCAGCACTCAGAGACAGTGTCTTTATCCATGTGTCGTCAGCATACGGGTGGATTGAAAAGCTTTGCCATCTGGAGTTCACCGCGTGTCGAATGTGTTTGTTCGAGACACGCGTGCGGCAGACGACAGTTCACTAAACTGCAACACAAGAGAGGATCAGGAGACCTCTGCTGACCTCAAAGCAAGTGCATGGACGGGTACTAACCCACACAACACAAAGTGTATGGATAATTCACGATAGATAGATAGATAGCAACAGTACACTCTTAAAAAAAATGGTGCTATATAGCACTAAAAGCGGTTCTTTGGCTCGTAATCATAGGGGAACCACTTTTAGTGCTATTTAGCACCTATTTTTACAGGTGCTATATAGCACCTTTGTCAAATGGTGCCATGTAGAACCATAAGAGGTGCCATATAGCACTTTTTCTCAACAATGGTGCACCAATCATAACTCATCCATGGCTCCCAGCATGCATTGCTACATGAAAAAATTATGCAGCTGCATTATCTTAGCATTTTCTTTTAATCTTACAATTTTATTTTTTGTTGTGACTTTTTACTGCCCTGTTTTGTGATGTTCAAAAATCACTGCTGTTCTGTGGCGACGGATTTGCGGGTCTTGTCTTTTTCTTGCAGGACCCTGTATGTTATAGTACACTCTGAAAACAAATGATAATAATTCTAAAATTGGTTTATACAATTTTCTCACATTGTCACGTTGTATCGTAGAGCTGCAATAATACAAAACTCATAAAAGAATAAAGATTTTGATAATATGCAACCAGAGACTCAGATGCATGAAAAGATTTTACAGTAAGTTCCTTGCCATCACATATGTGCTTTATAAACACTATTGCAACAGCCAAAGAAAAACTTATTTTAACTTAAAGTTAAAATCAAAGGTCAAGAGGCAACTAAAGCAAACGCTATTCACCAAAACGGTAAGTTGAAAAAAAGAAAAAACTTAATTCTCAATAAAGAACTTCTGTTTTAGATACTCCAGAAATAAAGTCTAACTGGTTAGTAATGTGTGAAGTTGGTGTTGCTGTTTGTGGAGAGGTCCTTTTTTTCTGAGGTCAAAGGTCTCATGTGGGGGCCCTGGAATATTTCATTATGGGGGCCTTGGGGGCAAAAAAAATTATATCTTCAAGAAATAGACTGTATTTTAATGTTGTTTTAACCCTTTCCCCAACTAAACTAAGAGACTAAGAGAGCGTTAAAGAACCTTTAAAGAACTATACAGGGGCTTACAGGTTTTACGGTAGTGGTGCTATATAGCACCTCATCAACTCCAAAGAACCACTGAAGAACCTTTTTTTTTTGAGTGTACGTCGTTCGAGCGCTTTACTTTAGGTTTAGTACACTCTTAAAAATAAAGGTCCTTCGCGATGTCATAGAAGAACCTTTTTGTCTAAATGGTTCCATAAAGAACCTTTAACATCTGAAGAACCTTTCAGTTTCACAAAAGGTTCTTTGTGGCGAAAGAAGGTTCTTCAGATTATAAAAAGGTAGAGATGGTTCTTTAAAAAACCTTTGACTGAATGGTTCTTTGTGGAACCAAAAATGGTTCTTCTATCATGGCATCGCTTGAAGAACCTTTTGAAGCACCTTTATTTTTAAGCTCCGTATTGTAATTATTTTCAAGTTTATCGTGTAGGCTATACAAACGTATTCACAACATTTTAAGGTAGCTGATGTTAATTAACTACAGACAATTCGGATTGCGCTAGACGAACCTCGCGAGGCGCATAAAATGATCAAATTCCCTTTAAACTCGCTGAAGATTTTAAAGGTGAGGCCTGCGTATTTTTCAAATAAGCCTGATAGGCTGTTGTGGGTTTACACCCTTAACCGAATAGAACTATCAGTGATTTGGAGTCGGTGGAAACGTTTTCGTGTACCAGTAAAATGAGAAAAGGATAAAGATAAATCAGTGTTCGACAATAAATCAATGCGGCATGAGGGATGAGCGTGCGTGGGGGATGGGACTCAACGCGCAGATGACAGGCCATATGGAGTCGGCCTTCTTTTTTGGACACAATTTGATGAACTAATACTTTCTAAGGGTTTGTTGCGGTGTTAACAACATATTTATTTCACGTGAAAACGTTTACGTCGAAATATTAACAATCAATGGAATCATGACGCACCTTTATTTCTTCTGAGGTGCTCGCGGTTTATGTGCCAATACGCATTCCATAAGAGCATTCAATTTTTGTGTTGGGGTTAGAATGTAAAAATGTACAATTTGAAACAAAAACGTATTTTTGTTGTTGTTCAGATTATAAACTAGTTTGAGTTGTGAGTCGTGCGCACGAATTGCACATTGACTTGTGCATAAAGAAATGAATAGAAAGAAAAAAGTGCTTTGTTTAGAAATCACGACGATGAAAGAAAACAAACATGCGCATCGTGAAAGTGGAGAAACTATTTTCCAAACGTCAAATGTTTAGTAACCCGACAGATGCCACCTCTTTCCACCAGAGTATAATCCTCTCTGAAGGGAAGGGAACAGAGGAGCAGGACGGAGAGCTTCAGTGTGTGTGATAAACTGGGCTGCTCTCCTCCTCTCTGTCAGATCGCGCTCTGCATCACACCATTTCACATGATGACCGACTCTGCTTACGAGCACCGAAACCTTCAGCTCTGGCTATTTGCTTCCAGTATGCTTTTTTCTGCTTTCTTGTTTTTCGTTAATCTTGAAGAAATTTGAGTGATGCAACACTGTAAGCGGAAATGATTTATGTCGCATCCTACAGCATCAAGGTGCGCAAAAGGATGCGGAACATTTGATGGTTTTGGAAGAACGCTCTTCTGCACCGACTGCCTTGTGGACATTTCCCCAAACTGGATATATGGACAATTATTATCTCGGGGGATAAAAACCTATTATTTATATCCTGCTTCGCAAGGTGTATTTGTGTAAGTTTTAAAGAAATCAATGTGCATTATTTGTACAAATTGTTAATGTCAACCAACTGCGTCTGTTTTACTAAAGCATGTTTATGTTTTCCTTCTTATAGCGCATATAACAGCTGACTGTAAATGCATTGAGGTGCGACTGTATCAAATTATGCCAGGCTATATTAATAGGTTCTTTGATTTTCATACTGAATGGACGTCATTGAATGGATCGCCTAATTAAGATCCTATTTGCGGGGAATTTTCCCTTCTGTGAATGGTGCAAGGGTGGCTTTGACAAATGGTCCCCTCCACTTTTCCCCCAATATTTAGTTTACCCCCTCCTGATGCAGGTGTTTTCAACTGCCCCCACCTTCTAACATATACCCCGCCCGACCCCCCACAAGAGGCGGCGGTGTCTCTGGTTTAGTCCCCCAGTTTCCCCCCTTCTTTCTTACCTCTGCTGCATTTTGCATGAGCTATCTGGGTCATTAGCATTTTAGCGTATGCAAGACTTGACAAAGCTGGTGAGGAGCCAGATGGGCCCTCTACTATTTTTTTTTTAATCGATATATATCTCATGGGAGTTGAGCAAGGGACCAACTGCAGCAAGCCACTGATCGCTTTCTTTTTATTTGCCATCACTCGGGCCTTATGTTGCACCAACACATGATGGAGAGCAGCGCACCGTCCTGTGGAAATATCACATTCGAAAAAATAGGTAATGTAATAAATGGGAACGCTTGTTTGAATTATTATGTGACGTACAGATGCTTTAAGGATGCATGATGCTCTGTGCAATGTTGGATGCTGATGATACACCAGTCGGAGGAGGTACGTAGATATTTTGGTGCAACATCTTTGCTGTGGCTTAGTTGCGCGATTCTGAACATTGTGCTTTCAAACAGGCCTGCTTTTCTTCGTGTTCACAGCGGACCTTGATTTAAATGTCCATACAATTAAGGCACGCGGTGAATGCCAAGAGAGATGGCAAATATCATCGATGATTGTTTTTATAACAGAACAACGCAACGCATATAGTCCATGCTTTGTGATGCACGACAGTTCTTCTTTTTCTTTCCTTCGGTTTTTGCAAGAGCGCGCGTGTGCGGAGGCGAGCCGACGCGTCAATGCGGCCAAACTGAGCTTTAATATTTCATTGCGTTCTTCCATAATTTTGTGTTGCGCAAAAGAGCGTATCATTGAGTATTGTGGTGTTATTATGGATAGTTTAAAACTCTTAACAAATACCTTGAAGTCTGATGAAACGTCTTTTTGTCATTTACTGTCTATTTAGAGAATACTTTTAAAAACTAGAAATGCCACATACAGTAGCCTCATGTACAAACCTGTTTGGGCACACGATGTCTTCAGGAGAAAATGAAGAATAATATGGATAGAAAAGTTGTGAGGCCTACAGTGACAACCAAATTAAACAGAACGCACTGATATCTTGAATTTCTGAACGTTCAAGACGACAGCAGTTGGTCCTCAAAATGACACTTGTCATGTGTCCTTACTGAAAATATTGAGCATGTACGTTTGTATTGTGTTTATACGTGTGTAAATAATTTTAGCTTGTCAATAAAATCACATATTCACTAAGCATACATTCATTTCTTTTTTTTTTCACTCAATATTGGCCATTTCACATTTCGATTCATTAGAACACTTATTATCTAAGACAAAATATATTCTAAAACTTTACAGTTCTATTTTCAGACACGGAAATCGTTATCCTACATCTGTCTACACTTTATTTTTACAATAAAATATGGATTGTTAATGGTTCTCAGTAATTAAGATACAGGCCGCGAGCTTTTTAATCGCAGTTTAAGCAATATTTCCTATAAATTTTAATTTCAAAGTGACGTTAACAATTCACAAAATCCGAATTTTATTTGGCGTAGAAAAGATGCAAGCAAAATTCCGTGGAAGAATAATTGAAAGTCCTATAAGAGCTTTTTATCCTCTAGGTCTAGAAGATATTTTGTAAAGAACTCAACTGTAAACAAAACAAAAACTGATCTGAAGAACATATAATGCAACATCAAGAACGTTTTAAAGCCAACTCAACAAACATGTTCTATATTTGTTCAATTTAAGAGGACCGAGAACCTTTATTTTAAACAGTGTATGAATAACACGCTTCTATTCCAGTATGAGTTGATGGAAACTGAATCGGATTTCGACAGACGCGCATTTCACATTATCCAGCTCTTGTCATAATATTTCATCTTCACTTCATAAGAGATGTTCATTTTTAGAGATAGATCTGTACATCCAAATCAATGTTTCATCCTTGTATTCCTAGTTCCGTGAACTTATTTTTCAAGGTCATTTAATGCTTGCTTTTGGAAATGTAGGCCTATAGGCTTTTGCCAAATCGCTTTTCTAATTAAATTAAACTAAATTAAAAAGGTAAACACGTAAACAGATTCTATTCGTCAATCAAAGACAGCAAAGAAAACATGCTGTTGTTGCGTCATAAATGATTTCTGTACCAATCGATTTTTTTTCGTCCACGAGCCTAGAAATCAAGGTTAATGATAGGCTATGTATTATTTTCACTAGAGGTTTAAAGTAATTAAAAACCATAATTAAACTTGCAGCGTGCAGGCCTTCTTCCTGCGCCATATGCAACGCTTCGTCCGTTTACAGATTAAGCGTCCAGACAATTCAAGACAAATGGAGATAATCAAGATGTAATTTTATAAACCACGCGTGCATTACTTGACTGCCTATAAACTGGAGTTTTCATTTCAAATGTTCGAGAATGAAACAAACACGCGCAGTTTGCGTGACATAAAGGCCTCATACTATTGAAAGTGAATGATGTAACCTCGAACTAGTGCACTACAATGGTCAGACATCGCAGAAGACAAAAATTAGACATTATGTATTACAGAATTTTCCGCCTTTTAGCAACAGGCCTTTTCTGAGAGTCAAACCTTGTGCGGCCTTGTCGAAAATGCTATATCCTTTAAAGGGTATTTAAGGACACTGCATAATGTCAGAGCAACCTCATTAGGTAGAGGTGTAGCCTACATTAGCATATTTCATCAAACGAATATTTAAGTCGCAGATTAAATTCAGCTGCCCCTGCATTTCAATCAGCGAGTTGGTTCATTTTTGTAAATGTTGATTCTTGAAGGACGCGGGGACACAGTGGCAGTGGGACACAAGAGTAAGTTATTTCAATGGGATTTGCATGGGTGGATTTAAATGAAGAGTTATTGGATGTGAAAAAAAAGAACATTCAAAATTACAAATCAAAGAAATAATGTTGGAAATATGGACTGTTATTAACAAATACAGAGATCTGTTAATTGGTATTTATTTATTGAGATGAGCAGAACTAACAGGTAGCCTACACGCTGGTCACACAAGGCAAACGACAACACAGTGAATGTTCAGGGTGCAGATCATACAACTATTTGAAATTGAGAACTCGAGTTTTTAAAGAATTTTAAACCTTTGCTAAATGATTAAAATGTAGGCTAAATATAAACTTTTTTTCAGACACAATCTTGAGGTTCATCTGGCACAACGGAAATTGTCATTTCGCGCCACTATCAGTAAGACAAACGTCGCTCATCTTAAAACCCTATATAAAAACATTTAATATTTTTTGTGATATGTTTGTTATGTAAATCTATAATAAATTAATTCATAATTACATTATAGGCTACGTGTAATGCTTTATCTTCATAAAGCGTTTGCAAAGGAAAGCTCGAAAACAGCGTACTGTTGCTATGGTTACCTTCAGTTCGTCAGTTTATGTTTGGCTACAGGTGAAAATACGCCACTGACTTGTTGTCTAACCTAAGCTAACTTATGTTTTTTAACAAGATGTTTCAAAACACGTAGAAACCTATATATGCTTACATAGAAAATTAACATACTGTATGTACTTTAACCATGACTCCCAAACCTTTTGACTTTGCTTGTTCAGGCGGTCTGACCCCCATAAATCATTCCTTGTGGCAGTTCTTTCTTTACTGTCTTTTTATACAAGCAATGCAACTAAGCACCATCAGTGTAATGATCCGTCCAGTTATATAATAACTAGAAACTGAAATCAAAACCACCCACAAGTCTACTAATTTCTTTGATGCTTATTTTTACATATTAAAATATTAGCAGTATAATGATGCCTCATAGTTTAATGCGTTTTTATGGAGCAACGATCTGACTCGAAAAATAATATACTCCACATTATTATTACATCATGAGAACTGAAATTTATCCCAGACTACGAGTGCAAGTGTGAGTAAGTGTCCTCTTTCACCCCAACACGTTATGGTCTCCACAAGGTGGCGTTGTTGACAGGTAACTATTAATTATCATAAACCAGTTGATCATTATACATAACAAATGAACTACACTAGTGAATACCAGTGATAAGTTACTGCGTACAATTAATTTATTCAAAATATGATGCATATTGCCTTCAGAAATCTCAGAAATGTTATCACGCCTACCAGTTCAACAATAATTCTGATTCATAAAATATGGACATATCTGATTTTTATTTCAGCTGATTATTAATTTCAAATATCCTCATACAAATGTCCACGAGAACACTGACAATCTTTATTTTTATTTTTTTATTTAGTGTTTAAATATCAAAATATCCAACTCATATTAACTAGTGTAATATGTATTATAGTTACATATTATATTCAAATTAAGATATATTCAAAGGCTTTCTGCAGTCAAGCATATTTAACACACACATTAAATGACCTTCAGGCACTGGCCTTATGATACTTCAGCTATTAAAAAATGGCCAGGGAATGATGACCGAGAAGTGAACATTGCTTTTGGAAAAGAGAATGAAAAAGGCTTGTTAAATGTTCAAGCAGAACAGCTGGGAGGTGAAAGCGAAGAAGTGAAGATCAGGATGACGACAGATAGAGAAATAGATAGTGTGCACCTTCCCCGATCTTAGCGGAAGGAATATCCAGCTGACGGGAGACCTCCGCACCACTGTGTGATAAATTTCAGCACATCCTGACATTCTGGACTGTGAGTGGTCTAAAGGGTGAAACAAAAACAAGCAATCATGATCAAAGCACCGCAGGCGACCCCAGGCAGGATGGATGGGACAAACTGTGAAGTAATGCGAAAACTGCAAATGCACCCACAAGGATAAAAAACGATGATGAAATACATCGAAAGAGAGCATTTACATTTACTTCAACAAAACACACTCTAATAAATTCAGTCCTGAGTGTTAACTTTTGATCAAGAGAGCAAATTAATTATAAATCAAACGATTGCGGTGTGATTGAAGACTAATTGTGAAAGCTCAGAGGTAACAATGACTAACTTGTACCTTTGTAGCCATCAAGAATTTATTCCAGTCATCTTTATTTGCTGCCATCCCTGGTCTTTTGAACTCAATTTTATTGCGCTGGACAGGGTAACCTGTGTTGCAGACAAAAAAGAAAAATAAAGAAAGTTTTGCGTTTTATAATTACACACTTGAAGGGGACAGCTCACCCAAAATAAAATTCGGTCATCACTTACTTATCCTCAAAAATGTTGTTCTTCTCTGATAACAAAAGGAGATATTTTGAAGAATGTTTCAGCTGTTTTTGTACAATGAAAGTTAATGGAGTCCAAAACAACACTGGACCCCACTGACGGTCAATACATGGACAAAAAACATGAAAAAAAAAAAAATCTAAAAATATCTTTTGTGTTCCATAAAAGAAATAAAGTCATTCAGGTTTGGAACGGCATGAGGATGAGTAAATGACAGAATTCTCATTTTTGGGTGAACTGTCTCTTTAAAACAGCCAGTTCACAGGCAATTTAAAGGAAACATTGCTTCAACTCCGACCATCACACCAGACTGTCTTTTGTGCACATTGCCTCACCTGTGATGACGCAAGGCAGGGACCGGATGCCAGAGCCGACTGCCACTAGGGAAGCTTCGTACGTGCCTCTCTCATCTTTCGGCAGCACCTGCTCCACCCGCTGGTCCATGGACACAGTCAAAACCCATTCCCTAATCTCCTCCCTCTTCTCCACCTGAACCACAGCCAATGGGAAGAGTTTACTCAAAGTGTAAAAAAAAAAGAAGAAGAAAAAAATACACAAGCACATGTGCAGTGTTTGTGGCAAAGGCTTACGGTGACATGTAGCTTTGAAGGTACAGGGACCTCAAATGGGATATCTGTATCCTGGAAGTCTGTGTGATCTAAAGCATCCAATGTGCCCTCATCAATGCCCTGAAAATTTAAAACAATTGCTGAAATTAGGTAGTTTAAAGAATGTTATTAAAAAAGGTACAAAAAAAATAGCATTTGAAGGAGCAGTTGAAAGCAGTAAATTAATTTATAAATGTTAATTTTGTCCATTCCATTTCATCTCCACTCTGAAATCAGCACTGTTGTTATAAATATCCACTTTGGTTATGTTTAAAGCTCACATAAATTAGTTTTAGATCATTAGACATGACATTATGGTGTCTTGGAAGTCTGTCTGAAACCAGTTTCCTTAGGAGGTACAATACCATTCAAAAGTTTGGGGTCGCTAAGATGTTTGTAATTTTTTTTTAAAGAAGTCTCTTATGCTCACCAAGGCTGCAATTATTTGATCAAAATGCAATAAAAACAGTAATATTGTGAAATATTACTACAATTTAAAACAACTGTTTTCTATTTTAATATATTTTAATATCATTTATTCATGTGATGGCAAAGCTGAATTTCTGCAGCCATTACTCTAGTCTTCAAAAATCATTCTAATATGATTTGCTGCTCAGGAAACATTACTTATTAACATCAAAGGTGAAAACAGTTGTGCTGCTTAATTTATTTATTTTTTTCCAGAAAGTTTTTTTTAAGGATTCTTTGATAAATATAAAGTTCAAAAGAACAACATTTATTTGAAATATATATTTTTAACAATATAAATGTTTTTACTGTCACTTTTGATCAATTTGATCCATATTTACTAAATAAAATATTTCTTAAAAAAATCTTCATGACCCCAAACCTCTGACTCTGTAAAGTCTGTACAGTCAATGAATAACTGGGCAGTGAAGCAGCAAGACAGCCGTCTTTTCAAGTGATTTGTAATGTTTAAGTTTGTTTCATTTGAAAGATACTCATTAGACTGCACACACCAGCAAAAGTCTTTACTTACATCAGCCAGATCCAAGAAGCGGTTAAGAAAGATAAAAGCCATGTTCTCCCATTCCACAGCCTGCATGAGAAATATTCATCAGTGACACGCAGAACTGTTTAAAGTTTAAGAAATATATATTTTTTTAAACTCCAGAAAGAGGACACATTGCGCTTCGTCTTCACAATGCGAGGCAACTCGAACTGCTTTGCGAATCAAATTATTCACACTTGCTGTGAGATCTTACTGAAGCAAACAGAGGAGAATGAAGTAAATTTCCCAGAGCTCTTAGCTGCCATCCTGTTCTCTGTCCCACATGAATGGTTGAAGCAGCTATGTGAGTGTGTGTGTTTGGAGCTGGGCTCACTGTGAGTTCACCTTGGCTGCCAGGCCGGCCTCATAAAAGGCCTTGTCAGCTGGAATGAGCTCGGTGTGCCTCAGGAGAGAGATGGACAACTTGGCCGCCACAGAACTCTGTAGAAAAGTAAACACATATGCAAGATTACAGTGACACAGATAACATAAAGGTGAAGTGTGTAATTTTTTTGGATGTTAAAATACACTCTCCTGTCCCAGTTTATTATGCCAAGTCAAAATTGGCTTAACCGAAGGCATGGCATTGGGGCTGGACTATCTAACCAGGGGACTGTGCATTATTTTTCCATTATGTTTGGTGACATGGACATTACACATTTGAAAGACAACATGACAAATCACTGACAACACTTTTAACATTTTTCTAAATGAAAATTCTAAACTTCAGCGGGAAATAATGTGGGACAGGGCTTAAAGGAACACTCCACTATTTTTGAGAATAGGCTCATTTTCCAACTCCCCTAGAGTTAAACAGTTGAGTTTTACCGTTTTTCGAATCCATTCAGCCGATCTACGGGTCTGGCGGTAGCACTTTTAGCTGCAGCTTAGCATAGATCATTGAATCTGATTAGACCGTTAGCATCTCGCTCAAAAATGACCAAAGAGTTTCGATATTTTTCCTATTTAAAACTTGACTCTTTTGTAGTTACATCGTGTACTAAGACCGACAGAAAATGAAAAGTTGCGATTTTCTAGGCCGATATGGCTAGGAACTATACTCTCATTCCGGCGTAATAATCAAGGAACTTTGCTGCTGTACCATGGGTGCAGCAGGCGCAATGATATTATGCAGCGCCTGAAAATAGGCTAACTTCCGCCAACATAACCAACGTGACCACCTGCTTGCACAGGGAGCGTGCCTTCCGTTGGAAGTTACCTAGCTGGGGACTATTTTCAGGCGCTGCGTAATATCATTGCGAAAACGGTAAAACTCAACCGTTTAACTCTAGGGCAGTTGGAAACGCCAGACCCGGAGATCGGCTGAATGGATTTGAAAACGGTAAAACTCAACTGTTTAACCCTAGGGGAGTTGGAAAATGAGCCTATTTTCAAAAATAGTGGAGTGTTCCTTTAATAGGCATTGATATTATTGGTTAATATTTTTCCTCAACTTACAGTGATTTTTACATCAGCAAAAAAGTTTATGCTATATATTGATGAAAGATTATGAAAAAAAAAAATTTTCTCTAGAATAACAAGAACTAATGATGGGCTATAAGACCAAAGATATTTGCAGTAGTGAACATTGTCTGTAATTTCACACTATTATTCAAAATTTGGGGGTCATTAAGATTTGATAATTATTTGATAAAAAATAGAGTAAAAATAGTAATATTGTGAAATAATATTACAATTTAAAGTAACAGCTTTCTATTTTAACATATTTTAAAGTGTAATTTTTCCTGTGATGGAAAAGCTGAATTTTCAACAACCATTACTTCGGTCTTCAGAGTCACATGATCCTTCAGAAATAATTCTAGTATGCTGATTTGGTGCTCAAGACATTTGGTGTTGCTTAGTAGTTTTGTGGAAACCATGACATTTTTTCATTTATTTTTAAAAATGTATGTATGTATGTATTTGATGAATAGAAAGTTTAAAAGAACACCATTTATTTGAAATAGAAATATTTTGTAACATTATAAATGTATTTACTGTCACTTTTGATCAATTTAATGCATCCTTGCTGAATAAAAATGTTAATATATTTAAAAAAGCTTACTGACCCTTTTGTATATTTAAAAAACTTTTGAATGGTAGTGAATTAAAGGGTTTATGTAATATCAAATGCATATGCAATACCGCTTGCATATCTGCTGTGAAGTATATACACACCAGCTGGTCAATGCCTTTGGCTGCAGAGCGGGTGGCGTAATAGTGAGCAACCAGCAGCATCTGCTCAAACTCTTCATGGGCTGAAGAATTAGCTTCTGAAGACTTGGTCAGGTTTTCACACTGCACGGCACAGAGATACTGTAAGATTCACTATTTCCTACTTGAATATAGAATCAATACTGACTAAATAACTTCCCAAGTGTAAGCCACCATAGTAAACCAGAGCTCACCAGCAGTAGAAGGATGTCCCTCAGATCGGCCCACATCTGATAAGCTTCCGCACAATCCCGGTCCCTTAGGCTCACTAGCTCCAGGAACATCCGCTTGTAGATGTTGAAGTTCTACAATAAGGAAGGGAAGATGTTTCTGAAGAAATCCAAAAGTCCCTATACTTGAAGGAGATGTATCATGTATGATTTGGGTTTCTTTTGTAAAATAAAAGAGTTTGATTTATTATGCAGACATGAGTCCACGTACCTGTGAATAAGCTGGCACGCCATGCTGGGTGTAAAGGTTGAGTACTTTCTCTGCCTCACCCTCTTTGATCAGGTGAGTGGCATACAGAGCGATGTACTTGTGCAGGACCTTAAAATTCTGTTGGAGAAGGAAAAGGCAGATACTACGTCAAAATGTTGCCCTGTTTCCACACGGACATGTCTGGGGGGGTGGAGAACACATGAATTGGCACCTGTTTTGAGGCTGTGTCAATACATTTCTCCCACTGTCCTCTCTCAGCGTACATGTCAAGGGCAGCCACCACATCTACTCCAACCAACTGATTGAAAATAAAGGAAAGCTATTAGGACAAATTGAAATGTAAAACGATTAAAATTATTACTAATAACACAACAAATGTTAATAATATTAATAATATAAAAAACAACTATGCTAATTATTATTATTAACAATTGTCTTTTATATGATCATTAATAATATATTTAAAAAATGTATAATAATTTATATTTTATATTATTATTAATATATTTTATAATAATTGAATGCTGAGTGAAAAATAAAGGAAAACTAACATAACAAATTAGGATTTAAAATAATTCAAACTATTTCTAAAAATATAAAAAATATAAATTAATATAAATTATTATTATATGAGTATAATTAAAAGTATAAAATATATTAATATTAATAATGTCAAAATAAACCATGTTAATTATATTTATAAATATAATAAATGACCGTGACAATTAATAATAGTAAGAAGAAGAATGATTGAATTGAATACTGATAAAAATGAAGGAAAATAAACGAAAACTATTAGGACAAATTAGCATTTAAAATAATACTACTAATTATTTTAAAAACTACTAATAATTAAAATGAAATTAAAATGAAATAAAATGTATGAATAATTTGCTAATAAACGTTTAAAAAAAAATTATGTTAATCATAACAATGACTGTAATTATTATTAGTATTATCATTAATATCATTATCATTAAACAGCTTTTCATGGCCTACTGCCATAACGTACAGTCAAAAAAGATGAAAAAAAAAACATGTTTCTTCTCATTCACACACAACATAATATATGATATCACATATTCTTGACTGGCTAAATTTTATTATGTAAGTGTACATTAAACTAGTTTCCTCCATAACATTCTGTCTTTCTTTTCAATAAAATGCCCTGACCTGCATCATTCCGTGATTGTAACCAAACTGCCAGTGAAGCATTGCAATGAGAGGCAAGCACTCACATCAATTTGGTGACTCATATCTGTTATTCTAAATTGAATAAATCCAATCGTCTCCATTTTTCTCTCCTCCCAACAATAACTGAAAAAAGTACCAGAGCGGAGGAGCTGCAGTCTGCGGTATTATGTTATGCTCATTTAATGCATTCTTTAACCTCGACTTGTATTGCTAGGAAATAGATTTATTTTGTTTGAACAGATTCTGACAGCTAGTAGATCCCTGACATTTTTAGCCAAGCTGCTCATGTGGGCGACACGAGTTCAATTAACAATCCTGTTCCCTTTTCGCTCACCCAAGGAGGTCTACAATACCTGGAGAAAGCTATCTGCTAGCATTCTCATTTATCTCAATGACAACTATCCTGAGTTGTGATGTCAAAAGCAGCAGGCGGGGAAAAAATAAGTCAATTTCATGCTTTTAGGAGTCCTCCAAAATAAAATCAGCCATTGGCAAAAAATTACTACAATATAACGATATATTCAGATTTATATTCAGCTTGCAGTACATGAATAAATGAAAGTAATTAAAATAACAAAATATGAAAATATGAAATAAAAATATGTTTTTTGGTTTAATAAAAATAAATATAGCTCCAGTTGTCTATTCTCAATAGTGTAGCAATGCTGCAATCATTTTTTTTCTACATTTAATGCTAAGATTTTTGCCTCCATTATGATGTAGTTCCAGCATCTACCACCAGGCTAACTGGCCAAGGCTAAGCAGCCAAACCTTGACCCATCATTTGAAGTCCTCTCTGAAATATCTCTATTAATAAAAGTGGAAAAAAAGACAAATTAATTTGATAAGGTGAACTTACAGAGTCAACTTTGCCTTGATTTTTCAGGTGCTCTTTGTAGCATTTGTCCACATATTCCTCCAGCCTGTGAAGAGAGGAAATGTCACAAAACCTCAATAATGGCAAACTCTTATAGAGTGACGTCACGATATTTTCAATAAGACATAAATATTTATTCTTTACCAGTCAATCTTTAAAGGGGTCATATGATGTTGCTAAAAAGAACATTATTTGGTGTAATGAAATGTGTTTATGCAGTTTAAGGTTAAAAAAACACATTATTTTCAACATACTGTACATTATTGTTTCTCCTCTATGCCCCGCCTTTCTGAAACGCATTGATTTTTACAAAGCTCATCGTTCTGAAAAGCGAGGTGTGCTCTGATTGGCCAGCTATCCAGTGCGTTGTGATTGGCCGAATACCTCAAGCGTGTGACGGAAATGTTACGCCCTTACCATACTGTGATGCCGTGTCCCGGCTCGATGAGACAACCAATAAAACCCATTACATAAATTTAATGACTTATACTGTCTTTTTACGCGTTGCATCGCGCCGCGTAAACATAAAACCCTGTCTGCATTTGTGATCGGAGAAATGACAAACAACAAGCGCTACTCTACACTGCTCAAAACTCGCTTTTGAATCATCAGTGGCAAATCCTTTAAATATGAAAATGTACTTACAGGCTGTGAGTCAGAACAGCCGGCATTGTAGGCTACTCTACCAGGATCAGGAAACAGTCCTCCATAAAATGCGCTGGACACATCTGAATATTTGGGTTGAACTGTTCTGGAACAGTGTTGTAAATACAACTTAACCACTGATTTCTAGTCATGTCCTCTTTTGGAAGGCCAAGCAAAGTATTTTCGCTTTCATCTTATCTATTCATGAACAGCTTGTAACACTCCAAAAAGAAAGGAAAACTTGAAATTGCATAATATGACCCCTTTAAGAATACACCTCATGCAGAACTGGAAAACATTTAGACTTGATTCCTAAACCTATTTTTCTGGCCGTAAATAAAAGACAGTCAGAGAGAAACTGCGAAGGCCATCTGCACCCCTTCGGCCTCGTGCTGTCGTGCACTGCATTTGTTGCACTGAGTGATTTTTCTGACAGCGAGAGAGTGATTTCACTGCCTCCCTCTCACATTGTTGGCTGTAGCGTTGTTAGGGGCGACCAGTCTGCTAAGGGCTCACCTTGGATCGAGCTCCTTGGCCACTCTTTTAGCTTTGTTCCATTCTTCTCCCTCAATGAATGCGTCTATGGCATTCTTAATGAGGTCCAGGTTGAGGTAGAGCTCAGCAGCCTGAAAAAAAAAAAAAAACATTTTGTATCTCAATCGGTCCATGGCTCGAGGACGCACACATGGGCACACAAGCACACTGAAAGCACTATTTCCTCTTGGTGTGCCACTCTCAAAACACAATGCTTTGAAAGAATAAAAAGCTTGTATTTTGGGGGGATTTCTCAGTATTTGTGCACAGAATTGCATCTGTGAGGAAAATAAAAAACAAATGTCAAATGGAGAGTTTTATATACTGAATGTGATTCTATACCTGAAAAAATAAAAGAAACATACCTCGCTGTACATTCTGAGCTGAATCAGGCGTGGCCCGACGACCTGACTGACTTCCACAGCCTTGTCATGGGATAAAAATTTAATGGCCAATTCTGCTGCCTGAAGGACATAAAAAGATGAAAAAAACTTTGTAAAAACTGTAAATGCAACAACAAAAAATTAAGCACTTTAGGAGCATAAAAACATAGATATTTAATGTCAACAGAGTAGCTCTCTAATGGATGTACACAAACAAAAGTCGGGTTTGTAGTTAATCTAGGTCGAAAGATCACTGTCTTCTTTTTCACAATTTAGAATCTTCAACACAAGCATTTAAAAAAATGTCCTTTGTCTAATATACTGCAAACAGTATTCCATCTCTGCCGATTGGATAAAAATTTATTTTTGCAAGACCTTCAAGTGAAATAATAAATTTAAACACTCAACATACTCTGACTTCAATGGAAAAAAAAAGATTAATCAGTAGAAATTTAAGAGATGCAGATGAAAACGCAATGTCTAGTCTTAAATTCACAGGGTAATGTGAACATATGTGAACCTCTGTCAAAGAGACATCTTTGTTAAAATAACCAAAACTTTATGATTATGCAAAAATAAATATAACTTAATCTATAATTTTAAAATATAATTGTATTGTCTAGGTTTCTAATAAAAATAATAACAATAAAATTCTATAATAATATTCTCTTTCGCTCTCTCTC